TAAGACACTATTTTCCTTCTCAACTGTTTTGACAGTTATATCCATGGTGCAAAAGCAATGGCAGTTAAAGCCGCTGGTCCTCTGGTATGAGTCAATGCAGTGGCAGCAAATGATATCAGTATTATTCGTACTAAAAAAAAAAGATAGAAGAAAGTAAGAAAGAAAACACCAGTGTTACTTAAGAATGTCCCTGATGGGGGCATCTGGGTGGCTCAGTGGGTTAAGCGCCCTACTCTTGGTTTCAGCGCAGGTCATGATCTCACAGTTCATGAGATCGAGCCCTGCACCAGGCTCCGTGCTGACAGCATGGAACCTGCTTGGGATTCTCTGTCTCCCTCTCTCTCTTCACCTGCCCCTGCTCTTACTGTCTCTCTCAAAATAAACTTTTAAGAAAGAACTTAAAAAAAGAAAGAACGTCCCTGATGAAGCCATAACATATATTAATTTTATTATCTTTTTTCCTTGAACATGCACCTTTTTAATAATCTGAATAACAAAACGGGGAGTACACTAAGTATACCTGGATACAATGTTTGAGGTGAGATACAATGAGATACAATGTCTGAGTTGAGGAAACATTCGAAACTGTCCTAAGCTGAACAAGGCATTTGTTTTTCTCACGGAACACCATTTGTACTTAAAAGAACAACTAACAGACAAAGTGTAGTTATGCAGACTTAGATATTTGGCAGATACTTTCTCAAAAGTGAACGGATGAGGGTGTTACTCCAAGGAAAATAACTGTCAGTGTTTGTTGCCAGTGATTAGGAATGAACTTTCAAGCAAAAATTAAAATTTTGGAAAGCCTGTATTTACCAACACGAATCTGACATCTTTCCAATTTCTAAAGACTTTTTGATAAGATAGGTGGTAATATTAATGAATGTGACTTTTTATACTGTGTGATGAAATGGGTGAGGATTTGGAAAACCTACATAACGCAAGGAACCATATTTTTCAAGTGGTCAATGTACGTCATTACAGAATCATGCATGGGTTTAAAAAAAACACACACACATTAGGGGTGCCTGGGTGGCTCAGTCGGTTACATCTGACTTCAGCTCAGGTCATGATCTCACACCGTGAGTTCAAGCCCCGCATTGGGCTCTGTGCTGATAGCTCAGAGCCTGGAGCCTGCTTCAGATTCTGTGTCTCCTCTCTCCGCTGTTCCCTCCCTCATGCTCTCTCTGTGTCTCTGAAAAATGAATAAACTTTAAAAATGTTTTTTAAAAATTAAAGGTGAAAAATAGATAAATAGACTTTAGTATAATCAAATAAAAGTGTTATTTGATTATAGCTTCAGAGTCAGCATTGTAATATACTTTACGAAACTGCCACTTGTCAAGCTTTGATGAAGTATCAGGAAAAAATATTCACAAGGAATTTCGAAGAATATTTGAAAGGCTATTAAGTTACTCCTCCCGTCTCCAACCATGTATTTGGGTGAGGCCAACTTTGATTCATATCCTTCAGACAAAACCACATAGTATAACAGATTGAGCCTAGAAGCAAATGGAGATTTCAGATATCTTCTATTAAGTCAGAAATTAAAGAAACTTTCAGAAATGAAAAAAAATGCTCATCTCACTAAATTTTTTCTTGCTTTGGAAGAGTTATTTTTCATAAAAATATTATTTTAACATCTAATGGTCTTATTATTGTTACTTTTAAATACACTTATAAGTGTATATATTTTTCACTTTGCAGTACAGTGAACATTGGTAAGTGAAATTCACATTAACAAAAGTTCTTTAGGATTCTCCCTGACTTTTAAGCGTATGGTGAGGTCCAGAGACCAGAATTTGAGATCACTGCTGTGGAACTCTTTTCAAACCAGTGGTTACAAAGGGAGCTAACTGTTGAGGAAATGAGGAATTTATTGGGCGTGTGAGGTGCCGGTCACTGTGTGTCTGGGGGGAACCGGGGCATCGAACCCTAGATTTGCTCTACAGGAAGGTGAGACACCCCTGTGGCTACCTGTGTTCAGGACACCGTTTTGCCTAAGGGTTTGTCGCTGTGCTTCGCCTGCCTCCAACCAATTTCTCCTCATGCTCTGTCACCTCCACCAGCGAAATGGTTGTCATATCACTCCTGGAAGCAAATCAAGAGGGCCAGTGAATCCCCCCCATTCTTGGCCAGCTGCCTGTCACCACTGCCACTACAAGTCCCCAAAAGACTTGTGCCGAGAGGACAAGCCAAGTAAATGTTCATTTATTGCGATGATGATTATTATCATTATAGGGTTTGTGAAAACCCTGGCCCCTGAGTCCAGGTTTGGTGAACGACCTCTTTTGATGATCAGCCTAAAGACCCAAAACAAGGAGAGGAATGAGGTTCCTGTCACTTGCCAACTCTAGCTTGATGCAGGAGCTGCCTGGGGCTCTCTTTTGAAGATCGGTGGAGAAAACGATTGCCTTCAGTTACTGACATCTGCCGAAGCCTGCCAAGGAGTCGGCATATAGGCCATTCATTGTCAGCCCTCCCCTAAGCCCGATGCCAAGACCCCTTGATTTTTTTTTTCTAATCCAGGTTCTTGAGGCCAAACAGCTCTGAGCAACTGAGATGCGAGGCATAAAGAAGAGATATACGATGCAAACAAGGGACTAGAGTCGAAGGAAAAGAACACCTCCCCTCCAAGTTGGTCTTCATGGCCACGCTCAGGCGCGGGGGAGGAGATGAGGAAGTGAACTCCCAAACCAGAGGTGGAGAAACATAGAGCTACAAAGAAGACCCAAGAACTTTGTCCTGAGAAATATGACTTTTTGTAGATAGAAATAAAAGCTTTTAATCTCTTAATTCCTTCCATTCCTAAAAATTCCCCAAATTAATTAAACCACCAGCTGTGATGTGAGCAGCTGAGGGCACTTGTCATTGTGAGAAACCAGAAAACATTGTATTCACCAGGACCCCTGTTCAGGAAAACACAATGTTGTTAGGAAACGATTCCTTAATGAGCCCTCTTGGAGTGGTGGCAGAGGCCCCAGGCCCAGGGGTCGGCTCATCCCATGGCTTGAGACTTGAAGGAAAAACTTCCCAAGGAACAGACAAGGAAAGATCCTTGTCTTTGTTCTGTTTCTTTGGTTCTTTCCTTGTTTTGTTCTTGTTAGGGGAAGGGGATTGAGAACTCAGTCTGAAAAGGGGAGAAAGAGCCCCTTAAATCTCCATGATGTCATCAAACTTGAAAAAAAAGAACTTGCTTTGAATGTATCATTTGTGGTTCTGGACCGGACAGATAAAGGCATAAAAAGAAAGACACAGGAGTCAAAAATGGGAGGAACCATAGGCACCCCCTGGGGAATCTCAGAAACGAGCCACGTTTTTGGAAGGGTCGCGAGCCATGGATCTGAGGGTCTGAGACGTGTTCATCTGGAGGCCCAACAGGCGGGGAGACCTTCTCTGCCATCTGGGCTCTTCTTCCTGTGCAAACCCCAGAGGTCAGTGACGTCACAGCCTCGCATCACACTGCTATTTCTCCTAGATGTGGTCACACACAAGCTTGGGTCAGTTTATTGATCCCCATCATTTGCTCCTGCTGTGGCACCTCTCCCTTCTTCTCAGCCCAGCAGTGTGATTCTTTATATAATTGAAAGCGTCTCTATATTCAGGGTCACAAGGACTTTGGCCTGGTTGTAGTTCTGCCACTAAGTGCCCATGTGACCAAGGCGGGTCCTTGTCTCTTCAGACTTCAGGGTGCTGATTTATGGAATGATAGAGGTGAGGAAGGAAATGGCTTGGGGCCCTTACAAACCAAATTCAGTGAATCTTGCTGAACCTTGGTGCATCTCCATTCCGACTTGTACTCACTCTTAAAGATATACCTTCCGTCGTAGAAATAAAAGAATCAGGGTTTGTTGGTTTGTTTACATAGAAGTTCTTTACTTAGCAACAATTTCTCCGCTAAGCACATACAGTAACTTCACATACACTGGTTGTGTCACTTATAACAAGGATTTTTTAAAGCTAAGAGAAACCAGACAGATGGTATTAATATATGTATTTTTTAAGTCTTTAATTTTCCTTTTGTGCCTTGCCCCCGCCTTACGGGCATTCTCATATCTGTGTCTGTGTCTGCCTCTCACAGTAGGTTGTTAGATCACTGAGAGCTGGAACGTAGTAATACTCATCTGTGTACTCCCCTAAAGCCTAGCAACCGTGCCTTGTAATAAGTGAGTATTTAATAGAGATGTGTTTATTTGAATTGAAAATTGTACTGAATCAAAAACTTCAAATGATTACTTTGTATTGTGATAGGCTTGGTTGTGCCGTAGGAATAAAATAATCTCCAGATCTCCGTGGTTTAATGCGATAGAAGTCTGTTTGTTTATTTGTTTTGCCAAAGCAAAGTCAACTCTAGGATGGGTGGGAGTAGGGAGAAAGATCTTTCTGCTCCACACAGCCCCTCAGGGACCCAGGAGAATCTCCTGAGGGACAGAGGAAAGTCCTGTTTCTCGATGGTATACCATTTGGAACACACGGCATCTTCAGAGAAAGATAGGAAACTTTCTCAAGGGCTTTTTCTTGCCTTCTGCACACATTTCATGGACCAGGACTCATCCCATGACACCATCTAACTAGTGCCACCAAAGTGGGTCGTCACTTGTAATGTCTACCGCATACTTTACTCAAAGAGCTCTAATATTTTAGAGTTGATGACCTTCTTTGAGAATCTTATGACAACAATGATCCCTCTCCCCAGAAAACAATACATATACAGAGAAACTTCCTCAACATTTTGCATAATTTTCAGGTCTGTTATGCATTTCAAACCCCATTCACTGCTCCTCTAAGGATCCCTAGACCCAGGTTGCAAATCCTTCCACTGAATCCACGGGCATGTTTAACACCCGGTAACAGATTGACAGGTGAAAAAAATGCATGACTAATGTGCTGCTTGAATGTTATGTTGAGAACAGCCTATTTATTTACTTATTTATTTATTAATTATTTGTGTCGTGCAAGATACATGACCCACGGATTTTCCTCTGTGTTTGTTTTATCAGGAAAAATTTGAAGGTCTGTTTCGGACTTACGATGACTGTGTGACCTTCCAGCTATTTAAGAGTTTCAGACGTGTCCGAATAAACTTCAGCAATCCCAAATCTGCAGCCCGAGCCAGGATAGAGCTTCATGAAACCCAGTTCAGAGGGAAAAAATTAAAACTCTACTTTGCACAGGTAAGGTAATTCTTGCTCTACATTATTATTATTATTATTATTATTATTATTATTATTATTATTTTGCCTTTTTAAAAGTGTAAATGGAGCCCTTTCTACTTTGACTGGTTTGTAGTCTATAATTAGTTCACAGATAAATAAACCTATGCCCTGATTCCCAGACAGGGGTATCACAGAGGTTTAGAAAGCAGGCTCTGAGGGCTGACAGCCTGAGCTGTCACCTGGGCAAGTTACACAATGTCAGTGGGTCTCAGTTTCCTCACCTGTAGATAGGGAGAATGATACACACACACCGTTCTGCTGTTTTACGAGGATTAAGTGGACTATTGCATGTTACAGTACTTAGTGTTTGGTAAATGCACAGCAAATATCAGCTAGTACTTGTAATAAGAATGGTCTACACCTAGGGCGCCTGGTGGCTGAGTCAGTCAAGCGTCCAACTCTTTGTTTTGGCCCAGGTCAGGTCATGATCTCATGGTTCATAGGTTCACAGCTCTGTTGGTGCGGAGCCTGCTTGGGATCCTCTATCCTCTATCCCTCCCTCTCTCTCTGCCCCTCCCCCCCACCTGCTTTTTCAAAATAAATAAATAAACTTAAAGTTAAAAAAAAAGAATGGTCTATTCCCAACTACTCTTAAACTTCCTAGCAGGCTTATAATTAAAAGTTCAGTTATATGATAGTTTTAGTGGACTGTATATCTTTCCAATGACTCCGATTCATGAGAAAAGATTACAAACATATGGAAATCAGTTGTGTGTTTTATTTCATCCAAAAATAAGTGCTGGCTATTCCAAACAGGGATGAACAGTTCTTGGCAATGCTCACAAAGTCCACGGCAATAGAAAATCAATGTCCTAATATTAGTTCCATCAGTGCCCTCCCTTCATCATTAGATATCCTGATCCATCTCGTATCGGTCAATAAATGTTGTTCCCACCTTTGGACTCTATGACGATGGCATAGTAAAAAGAGCATAGACTTTGCTTCTTTTTAAGGCTGAATAGTATCCCGTTGTACGTAGATGCCACTTTTTCTTTACGCATCATCTGTCGACGGACATTTATGTTGTCTCCACACCTTGGCTATTGTGAATAGTGCTACAATGAACACAGGAGTGTTAATATTTCTTCCAGAGTCTGAATTCAATTCTTTTGGATAAATACCCAGAAGCGGAATTACTCATTGAGATGGCAGTTCTATTTTTAATTTTTTTAGGCACCTCCATATTGTTTTCTATAGTGGTTATGCCATTATGCATTCCCACCAACAGCACACGATGGTTCCTGTTTTTCCACATCCTTGCCAACACTTGTTGTCTTTTATTTGTTTATTTAATTTTGATAACACCCATCCTAACACCTGTGAGGTGATATCTCATTGTGGTTTTGATTTGCATTTCCCCGGTGCTTAGTGACCTAAATATTTTTTCACAAACCTGTTGGCCATTTATGTGTCTTCTTTGGAGAAATGTCCATTCAGGTCCTTACTGTTTTTTTTTTTTCACTGAGTTACTGGGTTTTATTTTGTTTTTTTGTAGTTTTTTTTGTTTTGTTTTGTGTTTGTTTGTGTTTGGTTGTGTTTTGTTTTGTGTTTGTTTGTTTGTTTGTTTTGCTTTTGAGTCATAGGAGTTCCTTAACTTCTCATCCTATACATGAATAGAGAAATTAACCTGTCCTATATCTGGTTTATAAATATTTTCTCCATTATGCAGGTTGCCTTTTCACTCTGTTGATAGTGTCCTTTGGTGTAGAGAAGACTTAGCTTGATGTAATTCTGCTTGTTTATTTTTATTTGTGTTGCCTGTGCTTTTGGTGTCATACCTATGAAAACATTGTCAAGGCCAATGTCATGAGGCTTTCTGTTTATTTTCTTCTAGGACTTTCTCAGTTTCAGGTCTTATGTTTAGAATCTTTAATCCATTTTGGGTTAGTTTTTGTGCATGGTGTAAAATGAGGTTTCAACTTCATTCCTTTGCATGTGGATATCCGGTCTTCCCAGCACCATTTGTTGAATAGACTGTTGTTTCCTCATTGTGTACTGTTGACACTCTTGTTGAAGATCAGTTGACCCTCTGTGTGTGGATTAATTTCCGAGCTCTCTGTTCTGTTCCATTGGCTTACGTGTCTGTCTTAATGCCAGTCCCTTGCTGTTTTGATTATTGTAGCTTTGTAATATATTTTTAAATCAGGAAGTGTGATGTTCATCTTTCTCAAGATTGATTTGGCTGTTTGTGGTCTCTCGTGGTTCTATATGAATTTTAGAATTGTGTTTTTCACTATTTCTGTAAAATAAAAATGCCATTGCAATTTTGATAAGGATTGCATTGAGTCTGCAGTTTGCTTTGGATAGTGTGGGCATTGTGCAATATGGATGAACCTGGAGGACAGTATGCTAAGTGAAATAAGCCATTCACAGAAAGACAAATATTGCATGTTTCCACTTATATGAGGGATCTAAAAAAATAAAATTCATAGAACCAAAGAGTAGGATGGTAGTTGCCAGGAACTAGAAAGAGTGGAAAACGATGAGTTACTAATCCACAGGTATAAAATTTCAGTTAGATGAGGTGAATAAGCTTTAGAGATATACTGCACAACATTGTACCCATAGTCAACAATAATATGCTGTGGGGCACCTAGGTTCAGTCAGTCAAGTATCTGACTCTTGATTTCAGCTCAGGTCATGATCTCACAGTTTGTGAGTTTGAGCCACACATCAGGTTCCACACTGTCAGTGCAGGATTCTCTCTCTCTCCCTCTCTCTCTCTGCCCCTCCTGCGTGCTCTCTCTATCTCAAGTAAAATAAACAATAACAAAAAAAAAACCATTAACAATAATATACTGTAGACTTAAAAATGTATTAAGTGGGTATATCTCTTGCTAAATGTTCTTACTGTAATAAAATAAAATAAAAATTAAATAGGTAGAATTTAGACTTTGGCCTTAGACCCATGTTCAGATCCCATGCTGCTAGTAACTATGTGATTTGTAGAAACCTCAGTTTCTTCATCTAATGAAACCCCACCTGTTTCCTTAAAAAGTTAAACATATAGAGTTCCCATCTGACCCAGCAAATACTCACTCCTAGGTGTACATCTAAGTGACTTGAAAATAGGCCTCAAAAAAATACATGTACACATATATTCATATATAGTAGTACTATGACTAGGGTAGAAAGGGTAGAAACACTCCAAATGTCCATCAGCGGCTATGGTCCACCTTTCAACAAACAAACTGTGGTCCATCTTTCATTGGAATGTTATTAAACCATAAAAAGGAATGAAGCATTGATACATGCTACCACATAGATGAACCCTGAAAACATTGTGCTAAGTAAAAGCAGCCAGACACAAAGAGGTCACATGTGATTCCATTTATGTGAAATATCCAGAATAGGTAAGTCCATTGAGACATAAAGCAGATTGTTGGTTGCAGGGTCTGACTAGGGGCAAAAAAGGTAGTAGCTGTTTAATGGGTACAGGGTTTCCTTTAAGGCAATAACAATGCTTTGGATTCTCTGTCTCCCTCTCTTTCTGCCCCTCCCCACTCACACGGCCTCTGTCTCTCTCAAAATAAATAAACAAACTTTAAAAAAATGTTGGGGCACCTGGCTGGCTCAGTCGGTTAAGCAGCAGACATCGGCTTAGGTTATGGTCTCTGTGGGTTCAAGCCCCACATCAGGCTCTGTGTTGACAGCTCAGAGCCTGGAGCTCGCTTCGGATTCTGTGTCTCCCTCTCTCTGTGCTTCCTCTACTCACACTGTGTGTGTGTATCTCTCTCTCAAAAATAAATAAACATTAAAAAAAATTAAACTAAATTTAAAAAATGCTTTGGGGGAACCTGGGTGGCTCAGCCAGTTAAGCGTCCAACTTCGGCTCAGGTCATGATTTCAGGGTTCAGATGGTGACTTTGAGCCCCAGGTCGGGCTCTGTGCTGACAGCTCAGAGCCTGGAGCCTGCTTCAGATTCTGTGTCTCCCTCTCTCTCTGCCCCTCCCCTGCTTGCCCTCTCTCTCTCTCTCTCTCTGTTTCCGTCTCTGTGTCCCTCTCTCTCTCTCGAAAATAAATAAACATTTTTTAAAAATGCTTTGGATGTAGGTAGGAGTGGTGATTGCACAACCCTGGAAATGTACTAAAGGCCACTGATTGTTTACTCTAATGGTTAATTTCATATTATGTGACTATCACCTCAATTAAAAGAATGAGAGAAAAAGAAAGGAGAGAAGGAGGGAGGACAGGAGGGAGGAAGGAGCCTGGGAACCAGCAGTTCAGCCTCACTTGGGAACTTGTTAGCAATGCAGATCCTCAGACCCCACCCCAGCTCTGCTGAATCGGAAACTCCAGGAGTGGGGGCTCTGCAGTCTGTGCTTTTAGTAAGCTCTCCAGGTAATTATGATGCACGCTAAAAGTTGAGAGCCACTGTTTTAAGGATGAAATAAGATAACTGAGCATATGGTGTGTGGTAAGTAGTGATTATTATTATAGCCTGCTTCATTGGATCACTTGTCACAGGCTCCAAATGCGACTCTGCATCATCGTGTACCAACACGGCACATCTGAGGCCCTAATGAATAATGCGTCTTCATTTTTTCCCTCTTTGAAAGGTTCAGACTCCAGAGACAGACGGTGACAAGCTGCATTTGGCTCCACCACAGCCTGCCAAACAATTCCTCATCTCACCCCCGGCGTCTCCTCCCGTGGGCTGGCAGCCCATCAGTGATGCCACGCCAGTCCTCAACTACGACCTCCTCTATGCCGTGGCCAAACTAGGACCAGGTACGCTCTGCGACCCTTTTGCGAAAGAAACACCGTCAGCAACCTAGAAAAGCCAAACAAGATTAACAGCCTTGAAATCCGGGGCTCACGGTAACATGGGCATTTCTAATGGGTTTATTGCACTGTGTGGACAGCGAGAGGGCTGACGGATGGGACGGCAACACCGGACTTTGTCCCTGTTTAACTGCAATTCAGGAACCGGTGCTAAAATGCCTGTCTGTGCAACTTCTGCGTTGCAATGCAGATACTTTAAGACCGGGAAGAGCCACTGGATTCCTTTACCATGAGGAAGTTGTTTGTTTTCTCAGAACAGGCAAAATGAGCTCTAGCGACAGGCACGAGGCTTCGATGCTATGCAAGCTTCCTTTACTGCTGCCATAGGAAAGCCCAGGAACCCTCTGAAACAAGACAGTTTTCCTGCCAAAGTGAAGTCTCTAGGTCCCCAAGAACCAGATCACAATAGCCTCTAACTTAAAAAAAA